TGTAGAAACTGTTCAAGTGAGAGACATTCAGAGATGATGAAACTTTAACCAGTAAACCAGGACTGGGTGGTTCAGGGTCTTCATGGGTCCAGCTGGAGCATCTCTCCTGCTCTCACTTCGTTTTACTGTCAGCTGAATGACAATAAGCTGCTCTCATGTCCAGATGTTTCTGCAGAGTCAGGATGAAACAGCGACTGAAACTGGAAGCACCTGTTCTGACCTGCATCTGAAGGATCAAAGACACTTTAAGGTGATGTTCACATTGTGGAGAAGACAGATGAGAGACTGAAGGAAAACATCCATCCTGCATCTTTAACCAGAGGAGGGTCTGTACCACCACCTACCTGTGTGATTCTGTCCTGAGGACCCTCACCAGGCAGCTCCTCCACCACCGTCTTCACCTGCAAAAGATTCTCCAAAGAGTCATAAAAGCTCCTGCATCGTGTTCACTGACATGTGAGCAGCTGGAAAAATGGCTGCAAGTAATAAATATTTCACACATTTTTGTTTCACTCTTTGAATTAAAGCTGAAACTCTTCACTAGAGCTGCATCTTCAGGTCTGTGGTGCTTCTGGAGCAGAGTTATTAAAAGGACCTTGCTGTCCAAATATTTCTCAACTGAAAGGTAAACAGCAGTGACTGTGCTGCTTCGCTCTGCAGCCGTCTGCTGAGCAGCTCCACCAGGTTCACTGGAGACCAGAACAAAACAAAACGTTCATCGAGATGAAAGAGCTGAGGGCCGCTGCTCAGCCACAGAACTGAGTTCAACATTTCACATGTAATTATAGTCGCTTAAACATATAATTATGTGTTCTGACATCAATTAAAACACTGATTTAATGTGAGAAAGTTCTATTTGGTTTGAAATGTTGAGAGAAAACAAACCTCATTCATAGTCAGAGTTTGTGATGTAAATATTTAATGGCTTAAAAACATTTCAACATTTTGAACAGAGACGTTAAAGCAGACAAACACGCCTTTACTCTGCGCTCTGATTGGACAGCAAGGCGTCGCACAAAGCAACAATCATTTACAGTTCTCTCATAATTCAAGCATAATAAATGTTTAATTAAAATCAAGCTCAGAGGCCACATGGACAGAAGCACGAGCTGCCTGTAGTGATGATCACAGACTCCAAAAGGCTTTAATGCAGTGAAACTTCACAGGAACTAAAGCGGTGAAAGAAGAACGCGGTTCATTTTAACGAGGTGAACAGAAGACATGCAGCCGGTCGTTACGTTAACGAGCTCCCTGGAATCGGACCGCCGGACGCCTTTCACTCACCATCCACTGGTTTCTATGACGTCCTGCTGTTGCCTGCTTTGGGCAGAACAAGTCCTTTGAATCAGTTTGAAGCAGGTGTGGACACGTTGTGGACAAATCCTGAATCATCTTTAACACATTTTGAGTGGTTTGGACAGATTTAGTTATTTAGTTATTTTGGACATTTGAAGTTTTTCCCTTTTCAGGACATGAGTGTGTTTTCTTCAGCACCCACCTGGTCAGCCTCCAGACTGAACCCAGAGTTCTGCTGGAACGTCCTGAGAACGTCCAAACACTGATTCAGTTTCAGCTGATTAACAGCAGATGGAGCTGATATGTTTCCAGATTAGGACTTGAGCTGAAGCGTTGCAGGAGCTCCGGAGCAGAGCAGCTCTGACACTGAGGTGACAGTTAGATTGTAGTTTTTCTACTGAACAGTCGGAACCTTCTGGTCGCTCCACACAGCTGCAGAACCTGGTTCTGACTCCTTTGTGTTTCCTAAACTTTATATTTAGATGCAGATTGTGCAACATTTCTGACAGTGAAGGCGTTTAGTGACAGCTGGAGAATGAAACACCGACCTGCTGGTGGGACTCATTCAGAAACGTTTTCTGTATTGTTTGCGGAGCTGCATGAACGTTTCTGATCGGTTTGCGTGTTGACAGCAGCCGAGCTTGAACGTCTCCACACGGAGCAAAGCCTCCTGCTGCATGATGACGGGTTTTTAATCACACACTGCTGCTGTGGCTCCGCCGACCACATGATGGGAGATCTGCTCACCGGAAGCGACTGGTCAGAGCTTCTCACACACGGACTGAAGCGTCGGCAGGAACAAACGGAACGAAGCTTCGTCCAACCTGAGCGTCAGCGGGTCACGTTGGCATTTCAGACACACCTGTGTTCTGACGTGGCCACAGAGTGCCGACCAACACGTCCTGCTACGTGTTTTTATCTCAGAACGGCTTCACACACGTTTACACACCAAGTGCTTCGGTTCTGAATGTTAAACCTCCCATACGTTCAACAACGTGCTTATATAAGTCTAAGTTCTATACGGTCTCACTTCAGCTCGACGTTCTGTAGCCTCCGTGTGATGGCTGACAATAGGGATGTTGTTGTCATGGAAACGGCAGCACGACTGCATCGTTCGTTTACTGAAGTTGGATCAACAGCTGCTGCGGTGGGGAGCGAGGTCACGGTTCTACGAGGTCGCCTTCAATGAATGTGACGATTCTGAGAGCTGGATGCGTGTGCTGAGCATCACGTATGTTACATGTGGTCTGTACGGTGCAGCAGGTGCCGACCTCCCGACGCTCTTCATGTCACCTGCTGCCTGACAGCGGCCTATGTGCTGCCATGGCAACGCTGCAGCCCCGTATACATCCAGGAGTGAACAGCTTCTGTCCTCCAGGCGTTTCCAGACGCCCACAGATTGTATACGTGCAGCTTCTGTCAGGTTCAGCCTATCGGCGTGAGTGTGGGGGTGTGTTGATGTGACCTCCTGAACACCAGGAGCTTCAACTTCTCCCTGCTTAGCTTTAACGAACTAACAGGACCTGCAACCATTAATCGATTACTGAATTCATTTCCACCTCCTGTAAGTAGCGACTGGAGTCATTTTTAGTACGACTGGTTCTGTCCTCTGTGACAGTAAACAAATCATCTTTGGACCAAACAAGACATCTGAGGAACCAAACAGCTGATTAATGCAGAAATATGTGTCGGCTGTGAAACGTGTTTTTCTTAAAGCGGGTCGGACATCAGAGCAGTTACGGCTGATTATGACACCGACTGATGTTTGGGCTGATGTTCTGGATGGAGCCAGCGGAACCGGCCCGTTACGAGGCCTGCAGCAGAGGGTCCTCGGTCTCCAGCTCGGCCAGCTGCCTGCGCAGACTGTTCACTCTGTCCTGCAGCTCCTTGTTGTACTCGATGATGTGAACCATTTCCTCGTACGCCTCGTCCAGACACCGGGACGACCGGTTCCAGCGGAGGAACACTCCTGCAAGAGCAGAGCGGCACGGTGCTTATCAGGAAACTGGTTCTGTTGGTTCACAGCACACATGATAAAAAACAGGTAACAGGACGTATAAGGAAGTAATCAGATTACTGAGTCAGCCAGGGGAAATGGGGACTATTAGCAGGACTAGAACTTTAGACAGACTAGAGGATGAGAAGCATGAAGACAGAACTGTTAACTCACAGCTAGTGCAACAGACAAACAACATCTTTGTGGTCCGTTTTGTCTCTTTGTGGACACTTTGTGCTCAGTTTGTGTGTTTAGTCACTAATGTCTGATGACTGAACAGCTCATGGCTGACATGCAGACCGGACCATCAGAATCCAACAGCTGCTCATGTGTTCATTCTACAAGTCATGTAAAGTGACGACATTGTCATTGCAGCTAACAGACAAAGTCCAACAACAGATGGAGGTGTGAGTGGTGAAGCAGCAGGAGTTAATCCCAGCGTGGCCTCAGAGATGTGCTGCATGACTGGAATGTTCAACACGTCAACAACAACAACCGCAGCTTTCTGACCAGGACGGTCCAAAGTGAGCAGCTCTACAGTTAGAACCAGGTCAGGCTCAGAGGGGAAACAGAACATTATCACACACACACTAATAATAATAATAATGACACACCAGGAGACTGACAGTGACTCTAAAGCTGCTGAGTTATGACTCTAATCCAACTTGTTCTGTTTGTTTTCCTGTTAATTATTGTCCTGTTTATTCTGTGTCCTCAGCCATCCTCTGATTTACATGAAGGCTGAATGACTGAAGCTGACACTCTGGAGTGATTCATGAGGATCCCAGGACTGGACGTCATCATGTGTGCAGCAAAAGCTGTTTGTTGATGTGACAGCAGGAAACGGTCATGTAGAGCTAGGCTAGTAACGAGCTCACTGATTAAGAACGTGAATAATTCTGATCAGTCAACATGTACAACAGAAACAGGAGTGATGACATCAGAGCCTCACAGCCCAACGATCGATCCAGATCAATGACCGTCTCTGTTCGGTCTCTTTTATTTCCCACTAAGGTCCACATCTTAGAACATCTTATTAGGTTTCGTTTCCCAGCTCTGTCTCCGGCTAATCTGTGACTGCTGCTAACTAAGCTGCTAGCCATTAGCATAGCATTAGCCGCTGTGAAAGCAGCTACTGGCTGATTTGTGTTGATGTTTGAGCTTCTTGTTTAGCTTGTGCAGGTTGTTTTTCTGTCAGAACAGAGTTACGGCTAATCTGACTTCAGAAACATGCTGCGCTGCTACAGATAGCATTAGCCGCAGTCAAAGAGCCACAGCTAACCTCTCAGAGTTAGCATTAGCTTAGCAGAATCAGCAGAATCAGCTCAGCTGCTCCAACACCAACAGGTGAGTTGTTCAGGTGTTTTCAGTGACAAAGCAGAACCTTTAACAAAAACAAAAACAACAATACTAATAATGGACCTCTGGCTCGGGCAGCTCAGTACCAACAGCTGATCGCTCCAGTTCAGTCTCACAGTGGTTGAGTTGGTCTGATTCTTGTTGCGGAGCGGCAAAACAATCAGAGGTTTGTTTTTAACGTTTTCACTGGTCACCGTCTGTAAATGAACCAAACCAGGTGTTTCTGCAGAACTAAAGAAACCGTCAGCAGACGTCTCTGCTGCTCCAACACAACCTCTGCTGAGGACAACCTGAGACTGGACCTGGTTCTGTTCATGTCCTCTGTCAGCAGCTG